AGAGCATCTTCCAATATTTGAGGGGCTGCCCCAGAGAGGAATTAGGGGGTCAAGCTATTCTCCAAAGCACCAGACAAGGAAGAATGGATGGAAACTGACCAAGGAGAGATTCAACCTGGAAATAAGGAGGAATTTCCTGACAATCAACCCACAGAAGAGAAGTTGCCTTCGGAAGTTGTGGGAGCTTCATCCCTGGAAGCTTTCAAGAAGAGACTGGACTTCCCTCTGTCAGAAATGGCGTAGGGTCTCCTGATTGGTGGCAGGGGGTTGGACTAGATGACCTACAAAGTCCCTTCCAACTCTGTTAATCCGTGAAATCTGTTAAATCTGTAACCCTCCCACTGGACTCTTCCATCTCGGCTTACTTAAGTTACTCATTCAGGTGAGCCTGTTTCCAGCCTGAGTCATTTCCCATTTTTAATTTCCCAAGGATGCAACTGGGGGTTTTGGGGAGGCCCAGGAGCATTAAACCTTCCAGCCCACTGGATCATTAAAAATCCCCGAGCAACTGTAAATAAAGAGGATGGCAGGAGGGAGAATTCTTTCCCAGCACTACCAGCTCCTTAATGCATTTTGTCTCTTTAAAGAGGCACCGAGCTCGTCTCCCTTTGAAAAACCACGAATCGGTGCCCGGACGATGCGGGAAAACCTGGGGAAGCGGAGCAGGGGATCACTCATGTGCCAAGCATTTTATGAGCCCCACCTTGGCATCGCCCGGCGGCTTCACCACCCCTGGCCCACATGCTACGGCTCGAGTCGGAACATGAGAATTCACACACACACACACACATGGCTGGCCTGGCGAGATGCTCCAGGCCTCGGGGAAACTAATGCATATTTCATATCTCCGCGGCGCTGCAGCAAAGTGCTGTGCGAATTGAAATGTGCACGCATGCGCCTTCTGTTCGGGGAGAGAGCGAGGGCAATGTCTCACGCTCAGCTCCGAGGCCACCGAGAGGAGGACCGGCCTCTAATGCAGAGTTTGTCAAGTGTGACCGCTTCGTGGATTTCAATTCCCCAGAATTCCCCAGAATTCCCCAGCCAGCTGCGCTGTGCTGGCTGGGGAATTCTGGGAGTTGAAGTCCACCGCATAGGTGGCACACAGAGGCATCTCTGTGGGGATGTGCGCCGTCGCCAGTTGCTCTTCTGGTTTCCAGCACACGCATGCGTGCCAGGCAGCTGGTCTTCGCAAGTGCCAGAGCACCAGAAAACAGCCCTCCAAATGCCCCACAAAAAGATAATTTTGGGGGCTGTTTGGGGGCCATTTTGGGGGAGCGTTTTCAGCCTGTTTTGGGGGATGTTTCAGGCTGAACAACAGCCTGAAAAACAGCCAAAAACAGGCATGCATGCACTGCTCAGCGGGTCTTCGGGTTTCCGGTGCTCCAGCGTGGGTGCATGCATGTGCATTTCAGGGCTGAAAAGGTTCGCCTTCAGTGTCCTATACCATTTCAGACAGGTAGCCTCCAGAAATCATGGTTGCTCCATCCCTGGAGGTTTTTAAGAAGATACTGGACAGTCACTTATCTGAAATGGTAGAGGGTCTCCTGCTTGAGCAGGGGATTGGACTAGAAGACCTCTATGATCCCTTCCAATGCTTTCCTTCCTTCCTTCCTTCCTTCCTTCCTTCCTTCCTTCCTTCCTTCCTTCCTTCCTTCCTTCCTCATCACTGGAGGTTTTCAAGAAGAGACTA